CTTATTGGAAAATCGATCTCACACCTATGGGGTGCAACAGTGATGAACCTAATGATAACACTGCGGACACCGATGACAGCTGCTGAGTGAAATCACTCTGACACAAAGCTGTCTAGTTGCCAATGTGACAAGGAAAATTCAGGTAATGTTCTTTTACCTATTGAACCGGCATTTGCAGAAGTGCAACAAAGAGATTTTTTTTAAAACAGGTTTGAGAACAGAGAATCAAAACAACACAAAGACGGTCATTTAGTGACTAGGACAAAGCAAGAAAGACAGAAACAGCGGAAGGAAAGAAAAGGAGTAGGATCTATGATAGGCGTCCCCCAAAACGACCACCAACAAGCTGACAGCACGAGGAAGCTGATGACAACACGTCTACAAGACTGAAGCGGGAAGTAGATCTTATCAGTCTCTAGAAGCCACCTGCACTGATATGCCACCCTCCCCAACTCCTCACAACCCTTCCTAATCTCTCTCGCCAAATTAAAAAAAATATCAGGCAAAAAAATTAACTTAACAATCATTGATATAACATTCACAGAGGCACCACCTGTCTTTGGTTAGTTGTTTTAGCCGCTTTCTACTCTATAAGAAAACGATCGAGTTTCGATTTTGTTTGCAGTTACAGTGACAAACATGAAAAAGCGACGACCCACACATAGCCTAAGCAAGTTCTACCAATGGCGCCCGCTTCAGCCACCCGATGCCTCCTATGTCTGGAGAGCGTCCTGGTGTGATCACGATGTAAAGGGTGTCGGTTACATTTTAGATCTCTCACAACAACAACGGTACGTGAAATATGTTGATGGTGTCTGCGGCACAGATCAGTTATAGACTTCTTGTTAAGACTAAGACCCTTAAGTGGTTTACATATCATTATTATGTTTCATGCCATGTTGTAATATCCTGTGAGATATATGTATGTATATATATACGAAAACATATCCCATCTAGTAGTATCGACCTATCGATGGTGTCTAGCATAGATAGGCCATCTTATCCCAAAAAGCCTGTTTTACACGAGAGTCAGAGAAAGACCACTTCAACTCAGATTTCATGTCGATGTTTTATGCATTTCTGTCCTTTCTTTTTTTTTTTCGCACATTTTTAAACACAATGTCTTTAGGAGTCGTACTTAGACCCTGCTTCAGGACAGTCAGAAATCAAGCTGTAGCCTAAATGGTCACTTTCAAGGACAAACGGGCTAACCCAAATTTCGGGGGTTTCCAGAAACCTTAACAACATACACCAAAAGAGGGCGCACTACCTATAGGAGAAATTTGGTTTCATTAGTGTGTATATTTGTTTGGTTTTAGAGAAAACTTTCCTTGACTTTGTAAGAAACTGAACAAGGGGCAAAAACTTAACCTTTGATTTTCTCAAAACAGCATTTTTCGGGAAAGCCCCGTTGTGCTTAAAGGTGACCAAATAATCAGAACGTGCGTGTGTGTTTGAGTTGGGGGGGG